TGAGAGAGCTCTCTCTTTATTTATTAACTAAATGTATTATTTCACATGCATCTTTATGCATGTGATTTAAAGACCCCAATACTTGAAACGAGATAGTGACCATATCTCAGGGCTATAGTGCTCGGTTGATACATCACCTGAATGGCTAGTTGTCCGATTTCCAGTAAATGCAAGAAAAAAGGAGGTGTTTTACAGCCAGATATTGTTTTAAATGCCATCTTAGGTTGTTGTCTCCCTTTTCTTTGTTCTGTCTGGCAGTGGCTGGTTTTCTGAGCTGTGGATGATATTTAGTGGAACAACACTGCCCCTAGTGCACGCAGTCTGTAATTACACGATATACTTCTGCTTTTGGGTTAAACTGGGTGTTGCTTCGGTTTTTAATGTAATGTAATGCAGCAGTCCTCACATTCTTTTCTGCCTGAAAAACAGTATTTTCTAGGTATTCACTAACACGCTGTAATAAATATCTATTTGAGGTAGCCTATTTTAGGGGTTTGTGATGGCAGATTCTTCTGATATTGTTGTATTGCGAGGTCTAATTCTATATTGAAGTGTTTTAAACTAGTGACTGTATTATTTATTGATAAATAACAATAGCAGTATATATATATATATATATGGCCTATACACACACACACACTATAAGCTATGCTTTGAAAGTACTTGGTTTTGGATCAAAATAAAAATGAGTGGTATCACTACAGGTTTAATTAAATGCTTGAAAAATATTGTGCTATAAACTATACTATAAAGCAAGCATTTAACATTTACTATAACTATAAAAACAAGCATTTGCCAGCATAACCCCTTTGTTTTTTTCTGTCTCTGTGTGTGTGCCAAGATGCATTTGGCTTATCTACCCTGTTTCTGCTTATCTCTTCAGGAAAATGGCCATGTGAAAACCAACGGCGACGTTTCCACCAAGCCAGATGGAGAAGCCGTGGCCGCAGATGGAAACGGAACCGCGGAAGTTTCCAAGGAGGAGGAGGTCGAAAAAACGGAGGCGGGAGACGGCATTGAAGCCGCGCCTGCTACCGAGGGAGACGCCACCAAATCCGACGGGGAAGCTGCAAAGGAAACCAAGAAGAAGAAGAAATTCTCACTGAAAAACTCCTTCAAATTCAAAGGCATTTCCCTGAAGAAGAACAAAAAGGGAAGCGAGGAGGCAGCAGAGACCGCGACCGTGGCCACGCCCACAACCGAAGACAAACCCGAGGAGAACGGCCAGGCTGCTACGGAGACCAAAGAGGAGGAGCCAGCGGAGGAGGTGACCAATGAGACAACGGTACCTGAGGTGGAGGCGGAGCCAAAGCCAGAGGCGGAGCCTAAAGCAGAGGAGGAGCCTAAAGCAGAAGAGCCCGCCCAGGAAACAGAAGCCGCGCCCACAGAGGAGGCTACAAAATCTGACGATAGCCCCGCCCCTGCTGAAGAGACCACGCCCACCACAACCTCGGACCCGGAGCCGGCTACAGAAGAGTGACCTCACTTCACTGTGGCAACCTAGACTGTTTATCTTTATCCTTTTTTTTTTTTTTTTTTGAGATTGAAATATATATATAAATATATATAAATATATGAGACTTGAGCCACAATCTTACAGTTACAGCAATACTACAGAGAATCCAAGTTCTTTTACCACCTTTGCTGATAACAGTCACTATTCAGTGGTGTGTTCCTGACCCGTGTCAGTCCATGGTGCCGCACGTCAAGAGCGTTGTTGGGAATTGGGCCTGTAATGCTCTGTGGATGGATTGATGACTGATGGATTTTCCGCCTCAGAGGAAAAGCAGCCGATGGAAGAGCGTGGCTCCCTGTTCACAAACTTTTCAGTCATTTTTCTCTTTTAAACTTCATCCGATCCTTGATTCTTCAGGGCTGATGAGTGAAATGACAAATTGTCCTCTTAGGAGTTGGTTAAAGGACAATGTAAAACTACGAAAAAAACAAACAAAAAAAAATCTTTTTAAAGTGTTTAAATAGCTCTACATTCCAATTTTTAGCCCTGAAACTGTAGGGTGTCGGAAGATCTGGGCGAGTGAATATAGGTTTTAGTCTTAGTCTGTTTTTAATGATGTTTTACAGTTTTAATCAGATCTAGCTACACATTTCAAAGTTTACGACAAAGGGGAATTAAACCACTGCTTTTATCAAATATATATTTTTGTTCTGTTAAGTCTCTGTACATACATTTTCTGACTCTTTATTTTGCTAACATTTCCAAGTGTTAATAAGATGTTGTACGATTAGGCCAAATAAATGTTTGACCCCCCTTGTGTTTGTTTGTTTTTCTGAAATGATTTTTTTTTTTAAATATTAAAAACAATATCAAACACCTTCATTATCACAAAGAACATGTTTTGAATTGAGCAAAGAATTGTGATGCACATTTAGCTGACTGACATTCAAGATCTTTCAGACGAAAAAAAAAAAAAAATGTTATGGGTTAAGAATGTTAATTCACAATGTCCAAGTATTACATGCCATCACATTATTAAAGGTATCATTTACCAATTTTTGGGCGAATTAAACGATTTCCCTCATATTGTATGCATTTATACTTAAAAGATTTTAAACAAATTATATGATCAATGAGTTATGACTAAATGTTTTTACATTGCTTTAACATTAAAATAAGTCAAGCAATTTTGAACTTTTTTAATAAGTCATACAAGATTAACTCGTTTTTAAAGTTAGTTTAATGTAACTTAAGTTTAAATAACTTAAACATCCAAGTTTTTTTTTTGTGTGTGTATAAAGTCTGTTTTTTTCTGTCCAAGTCGATGAAGTCCAGCATTCTTCAGAATATCAGCTCTTGAGTTCCAGAAGAACGCAAGTCATACAAGTCTGGAATGACATGAGAATGTTAGAATTGACTATAAATGACGATAGCATATCTTTTCCAAGCTTTCATCAGTGTTTTGATCAAGATTGGTGCATTTTCTCCATGGCTCATTCCATCAGGATTTCTTCTCTTTATCAGTTAGCTGCTCGGGTAAGTCAAATAAACACTCCATAAAGAGTCCAAAAGCAGCAGGTACAAACTTCTGATGCTGAAGGCTCTAGAAGGTGTAAAGTTAATAACTCATCAGTCTTTTCTACACCTGATGCTTCCTGCAGATGTAATACTATTAGTATTGTGAAGTTTTTTTCCGTAATGACTGTTAAAATGAACTGAATGTTGATATTCCTAAGTGGAAGTTTGTCCCATTTAAAGGGATAGTTCACCCAAAAATGAAAATTATGTCATCATTTACTCACCCTCAAGTTGTTCCAAACCTGAACTGTCTGGTTACCAACCTTCTTTAAAATATCTTCCACATATCTTCAACAGAAGAAAGAAACTCATTCAGGTTTGGAACAACATGAGGCTGGGTAAATGATGACAGTATTTTCATTTTTGGTTGAACTATCAGTTTAAGATCCCGTAGGATGAAAGTACCTGAAAGAGTTTTACCCTTACGTGCAGATTACGACACCAACACAACAAACATTAAATATATCACTTTCTCTAAATCTGTGAATATGGAGTAGCTTGTTCTTTATCTTGAATTGCATTTTATTAGCACTAAATACAGCAGTGAATGGAGTTCAAATGGTTTTGTGTTCACACTGGCCTTCACTAGTGTGTCCTCAGAGAGAGTGTTGAGCTTCTGCTGGGTCAGGTTAGTTACTGCATTTTTATGGCTTTTTAACATTTGAGTGGAATTATTGAACATGATTTACCCAAGTTCATTCAAATATGCAAGAAAAAACAGCTAAATAGTCCGATTGTTACTGTGATATTTTTATTTTCCAAAGGGAAAGATGGAAATTTTTCAATAGTTCCTGAGTTAAAGTAAAAAAATATATACATTCCTTTATTATAGCACCACATTATGGCTGATTGTTACAAAATTTGCAGACACAAAAACAAACATGATAAATTTATATTATCTTATAATTATATTTCTGTTATACGCAACTTAAATATAATTATAATATCATTTTTATCTACTTACTATTGAAATAGCCTAACAGTTGAAATTTGAGCATTTCATTTTTTGTTGATTTGTACAGATGATCTCTGGACAAATAAGTCAATGTTAACACATGTATGACAAAGAAATAGCAGGCTGGATTTCAACTTCCATCATCAAATGGTTGCAGACTTATGAGAACATTTCTGTTATAGCACCACCTAGTGCTGGAATTTGACAATATTTTGTAAGGCACCTCCAAACATACAGGTTAATTAGTCAATGAGCCATTCCAAAAAATCCATTGTTCTGTTCAAATGTTTTCCATAATTATCACAAAAAAGATTTACTGAGTAACTGAGCAATAGCTTTATAGCCATTTAAGTATTATGCTAATGTAAGTAATCTACCCATTCAGCAACAATGTCCTTTGGTAGATGCAGTCAATCATTCCCAATCCGAATCCAAATCCGACTCCAAATCCGAGTCACTGCAATCAAGGTCATATTATATTCAAACAATCATATTTTTTAGAAATAAAAGTTATTACATATAAAATAGTAGTTGCTAAATACAGAAAATATGCACAGATGTGAACTGATTTTTTAAACACTAAAAGCTGTAAAATTGGATGTTTCACATTCAAGGGTTAATTAAACACAAACACATAACAATTTAATATTATATGAATGTACTAATTTTCAGCATGCAATTATGCTAATTAACTACATTACTTGGTGGAAGAATTGCTATTATTAAAATATTATTTATTTAATATTTGTGTCTTTTCTCTTATTGCTGTTTTATTAAAGCAATAAAACAATTCAGGCTGTGTGTTATAGTGAACATGTCTTAGACGAGCTCTACTGTAAGTGATAATACATGATGTCAGGAAATATCTATGATTAATAAATATCTCAGCCACTGCAATCACTTAAAAAAAAAAAAAAGATTAGCAAGTATGATAAGTGTGAAATTCATAAATTCACTTACGAATCCATCTCCTCCAGCAACAGATCGCAATCTCGATAAAAACAAAAAACAAAAAAAAACATGCATGTTTCAGTGAGTATAAAGAACTCAAACATGACTGTTATTTGCGAAGTATAATGTGAGCATCTTTGAATTCCTTGATAAGTATTGGTTTTTGAAACAAGACCGACCTATGGCATATAGTATAAAAAAATGTGTGTTTGTTTTTTCTGATAGAAAAGTGTACTTACTGCTCTGGAACCTGTTTTTAAATATGTGGACATCAGCAACTATGAAGACAGATATACAATATTCACTTATGTGGGAATTCGGTCATGAGTTCAGTCAGATGCATGACAATGTTATACAACATTTGAGGAACAGTTCATAGTCAACATTCCCACAGCAATGTGATTTCTCCCATTTATATCTGTATAACAGGACATTATATAGTCTCTGTCTCCAATGTTGTGGTGAATTTAGCTGCCAATAAGCACTCCATCTCAAACTGGTCCATTATATAGATAGATTTATTTATAGATTAAGTTGAGAGAACACACTGTACTTGTACTTTTTGGTTGCTTATTGTAATACATTGTCTCAGGACACTCGGCAGATTTGATAGAGATGAAACAAATTTAGTACTTTTAAAAAGCACAATAGATCTTGACATTATTATCTCACCTGTCTTTGATATTCTGCCCATGTGCTCTTCACAGAGTTTGTCCAGTTGTATCTTCAGGCGGGATACAGATTTCTCTACATTCTCAAATGTCAGGACGTCATTAATCTTCCTGGGTGAGGCTGTGCGCGGATTGAACTTAGAACAGGAAGCATAATTCTGCAATTGGACGAAAATACAATAACTTTAAAATAAGAATCAACACTGAATCAAAAACACTGTCAAGATTTAATTCAAAATACTATATTTTCTTTACCTGGAAGAAATAAACGTGATCCTCAGTATGTAAAAGTGGCTCCAGTTTACTATTCTCCTTCTGTAGTTTGACGATCTCCTGGTGCAGTCTCTGTATGTGACTCTCTGCATCTCGCACTTCCTTGTTCTCCTGAGCTCTGATCTTCTCTCTCACCTCGGCTTGTATGTTCTGAATGGAGCGGAGGATCTCGGTGAAGATTCGGTCAATGTTCTCCACTGCTACCTGTGCAGAGCGCTGTCACAACACACACAACACTTGGTCAAACTTCTGACACATTGACACGACAGATCATATACAGTATGCAGAGTAAACTATAAGGTAAGCCATTCATTGGTTGTCCTAAAAAGTGTAAAGACAGAAAACATTGCTGCTTGTTTGTGTCACGAGGTCAAGGTTTTGCTGGTTAGCTTCAGCCCCTGCTGGTATGACATCATCTGACTGCATCTTGATGGCCATTTAATAATATCCACCCTGATCCCATGATACAAACATAACTGTGCAGTGTACATACATTTATGCAAATTTCTAAAATATTCCTCCAGGTATGCATCACAGCAGTATCCAGGTTTAATGAGCATACCTTATGAAAGTCCAAATTTTTCGGAGACTGCTGAATCTCCTTGTCTATGTCAGTGGTTTGCTGAATGAAATCCCTCTTTTTTATTTTCAGTTTCTCCTGAGGATGAATTCACAATCAATAAGAATCCCGTTCTTTATAGAATCAGTTTATTTATATTTGTACATGAATCTGCTGTTCATTATTTTGTTTTTGCACATGATGTATATATATACACATACACACACACATATATATATATATATAGAAAGAGAGAGAGAGAGAGAGAGAGAGAGAGAGAGAGAGAGAGAGAGAGAGAGAGAGAGAGAGAGAGAGAGAGAGAGAGAGAGAGAGAGAGAGAGAGAGAGAGACACATCTTACTGTACCTGCTTTTTTGCCATTTCAGCTGCAGCTGAGACTGTTTTATGTCCACTGTGCTGATTCCCCATACAAACTACACAAATACACTTCTGGTCATTGTAGCAGTAAACCTCCAGTGCTTTATGATGGTGAGGGCAGATCTGATGCTGTAGATTTGGGGAAGCTTTGACCAGCTTGTGTATTTTAAAAGCTTTAGACTCATAATGAGGTCGAACATGAGCTTGGCAGTAAGAAGCCATACAAACCAAACAAGACTGGATGGCTTTTACTTTTATTCCTTTGCAAACATCACACGCCACATCTCCAGGTCCAGCTGGATCTTCCTGCTTCATTCCCTCTAAAATATCAGCCAGTACAGTGCTTCTGCTGAGAGCTGGTCTTTGGTTGAATGCTGTCCTGCATGTAGGGCAGCTGTAAACGCCTCTATGATCCTCCTGGTCCCAGCAGCTCTTAATACAGTCCATGCAGAAACTGTGCCCACAAGATGTAGTCACTGGATCTTTAAGCAGATTCAGACAGATCGGACAGTTTAAAGGATTTTGAGTATCAAAGAGAGAGTCTGCCATTTTTGGTGCTTTCAAACCCAGTGGAAAATTCACTGTAGAATAACAGGAGTTTGGATTTTTTTAAAATCAGAATGGGAATGAAATGAAAATGAAAGTAAAAAATAATGAATCGCTATTTCCTGCTCCAGGAGGTTTATTAAGTTTCAGAAATGTCACTATCTGCACCATACCATCCCGACAAGCACTATATAAATTTAAAATTCAAAAAACACATTTGCCGTAACTTACTATAAACCTGCTGCTCAATTCTCAAAACACTCTAACACAAGAGCTTGACAAACAAGTTGAGATCCCGCGTTTTGTATGCAGTGTTGTCTGCCGTGTTTGTCAGGTTCTCCCAGTATTGGTAAAGGGTATTTTCTGTAGACCTAACACAACAATTAAAACAATACAACAAATTACTAAGGTAGAGTGTGGAAAAAACACCTTTCATTTTTTAACATATACACACAAAATACACCTTAATTATTACCTCTTTTTTTGGCCCAGTTAGTATCAGTCACTTCACTGTCAACCGTTTTACCGGAGATAATAAAATAACGCAAATGAGAAACGTGTTTTTTGCAAAAGGAAGTGCTCAAACTGAACAGAAAAAATAGTGCGCTGCTCTTAAAGGGGGTGCCCAATTCTGCCTTGTGAAGGAACTACTGGCAACAACCCGAACACAACGTTCCAATTCCCTAAAAAAAATACCCCTCCTCGTTTCCTCCAAAGCCACTAGATGACAAACCTGCCACCTTTAGCCAAAAAAGCGTAACGGCTAATGCTAACGTCGGTGTGGTGGAGTGTTCATATGAAGTGATGAGTCCCAGCTTAGGACCCCAGTAGTATGCCTGATCTAAAACTGTTTGCGCGATTTAAAAAACAATTTAAGATCAAGTTGGGACAACATACTGTAATTTTGTGTTGCTTGCTGTTAGTACATTGTATCAGGCCACTCAGCAGATTTGATACAAATGAAAAGTTGGGTACAAATTTAGTACTTTTAAAAAACAGAATAGTTCATGACGTTGTTATCTCACTCGTCTGTGACATTCTGCCCATGTGCTCTTCAGAGTTCGTCCAGTTGTATCTTCAGGTGCATACAGATTTATCTACATTCTCAAATGCCAGGATGTAATTTTAGTGCTTTCAAGCCCAGAAGAAGATTCATTGTAGAATAACAGGAGTTTGGAATCTTTTAAATCAGAATGAGGCTCTGTGCAAACATGACCAAATGAAATTTATAATGGTAAAAAAATAATTTCCTGCACTAACTAAACATTTTCTGAAGATTTCACTATACATCTACAAATACATTTAAAAATAAGAAACATTAAAACAGAAACATTCACAAAAGGGCTTGCTATAACCAAGTTCAGAACGGTAGCCTATACCACCTGCAAGTTTTTATAAAGTTTCTCATAAATTTTTATTTTTCTCAGAATTGATATATAAAGTAACAGCAGATAGGAAAAAAGTCAGAACTGTGTGATAACAGGTCACAGTCACCTTCTTCCTTTTTTTACACTATAGGAACAATATTCCCTAGATCTAGCCTCCTACACAGACAGCATATGCACAAAACAATGCTGCCATATAACTTAACTTGCCTCTGCTGAGTTAGAGTATGGGAAAATACCATTTATTTGATTTTTTTTCACCTATGCACACAAACACACTTTTATTACCTCTGGGCACATTACGTGATGCGTTTTTAAATTTAGTAGTTAAATTCACCTAGTTCGTTGCAGTAGAGAGAGACAGACAGGCTTACAGAGGCTGGCATTTCACAGGTGGTGGTGAGTGACACTGCGTGATATACATCAACGGAGGTATTGGCACAATTTCACCTGTAGTAAGTCAGGCTGGTCACTAGGAACATACTACAATCTTTGGAACATGAAAAAAAAAACTTTCTTGGAATTACAGTAATTTCTTAAATATATTGTTTACAGTTACATACATTAACAGAGGTATTGCCACAATTTCACCTGTAGTACAGTAAACTTTTTTTAATTACTGTAATTCACCGTTTTTTTTTTTTTTTTTTTTCATGTTCCAAAGGTTGTAGTATGTTTCTACTGACCAGACTGACTTACTACAGGTGAAATTTCCCAATACCTCCTTTCATGTTTCCCTCCCTTCTCGGAGACTGGCAAGAGCAGCTTCCAAGTCCCCAGTACTCATCTTGCTGGATCTATCTGCAGCTTTTGACACAGTTAACCACCATATCCTCCAGTCAATCCTCAAGGCAAAGGGCATCTCAGGTACCACACTCCAATGGTTCAAGTCTTCCCTCTCAGGTATGTCCTTCAGGGTGTCTTCGAGGGCCGAGGTGTCTATGTCGCAACATCTAGCTACTGGGGTGCCTCAGGGCTCAGTGCTCGGACCACTTCTCTTCTCCACATGTCAGTCATCTCTAGGATCTGTCATTCAGAAACAAGTTTTTTCCTATCACAGCTCTGCTGATGACACACATCTCTACCTCTCATTTCAACCAGATGATGCAATGGCAGCTGCATGCTGGCAGCAGATGCTCCCACCTCGGCCTGCCTGACAGACATTTCTTGCTGGATGAAGGACCACCACATTCAACTCAACCTTGCGAAGACAGAACTACTTGTGGTCTCGACCAACCCAACACTTCATCAACTTCTCTATTCAGCTAGGTTTGTCAACCATAACTCCTTCCAGGACAGCAAGAAACCTTGGAGTTGTGATTGACTATCAGTTAAACTCCACAGACTGAACTGCCCAGTCCTGTAGATTTGCCTTGTACAACATTAGGAGAATCAGTATTTCAATCTATATTTTAACCCTTATGGTAAAATATATATTCCCTTGTAGTAATGCCACCTCATGTCTGACTATCACTACATTTGAAGACAACACAAATATAATACATTTCATTATAATCAGTTGAAAGCATTTAATTTATTTTTTTACATTTACACAATTTTTGTACAGATTATCTTTGAAACAAAAGGATCCATTAACATATTGATGACAAAGAAATAGAACACTGAACTTATAATTCTGCAACCATTTGATGATTGGAGTTAGTGAACATTTCTGTTAGAGCACCACCTAGTGCTAGAATTTGACAATATTTTGTGCGGCTCCGCCAAACAAGTCATTGGTCAATTCGAATGTTTTGGAAGATTAGGTCTTTTCTCTGTAGCTTATGGAACTATGTGTTCAACGGTGTTAAATTTAACTGACTGTGAATTTTTTTTTTTTTATCTAAGGCACAGTTGTTTAAAAATCCAGTTTTTAAAGCCATATTACTAATTACAATATATACCGGTAATATGTAAATGTGATCTACCCATATGAGGTTCATCTCCAATTTTGGTGTCTTGCAACCTTTTATTGTATACTCTACGAAAAAGAATGATGACGTTCAGATGTTTTCAAATTATATGTGGAACTGTCTCCATCGATCCATAAATGTAATCATCACAGCTGTCCCTGCAATCAAAGTTCACATTTTACTGAGCAAGCTTACATGAGAAATTAGAATATTGCTAAATCAACTAAAGAGCAAATGTGCACAATCACTACTGTCCAAAAGTTTGGGATCTGCAATATTTGTGTTTTTGAAAAAAATGATTTCACCAAGGCTTTATTAGTTGGCAATTTATTTTAGGCTGTATTTATTTGATAAACATCTCAGCCATTTCAATCAAAACTCACATTTTTAAAAAATAATGTTTTATTTCTAATTTTTTTAACTTAATAAATACACTTACCAAATCTGTACTTTCATCCCTACTTCCATCTCTGAGTGGTGAGCTAGATTTAAAAAATGAAACATGGAAAGAGCTCAAATCACATGACAATTAAGTGCTAAAAACAAGTATAATGTGAGCCTGTTTACTATGAAGGTATATTTGGTGCAATACTTCTGAACGCCTGTGACAGTGGAATTTGTAGTTGTAGAGAATAGCCACACATGTGTATCAGTAAATTTGAAGTCACAGAGAGAAATGTTTTAAGAGTTGCAAACTTGTAGACTTTTTTTATCTTCCACAAACACAACACAACAGTTACACCTTCTCAAATTCTTCATTGCAGGCGCACAAATCCTATTCTACAAATCACAAATTAAGAAACTTGTACGCTCACATTTTTGCTACAGTTGCTGCAGTGAATATGGTGCAAAACGCATTTAAACACCTGCATCAAAACATGTGAAGTCACAGAGAAATTTTGCTCATCTGCAGGGGCGGACTGGCCATCTGTGTGATCTGGAGAATCACAGAACGGCCGGTACTCCAGGACGGCCGGCGGGCCGGCCCACCGGCCCACCACCCGCCACACACGCAGTCACAGACATCCCAAGTCTCCCGGAAGTTCCGGGAGTCTCCCGCATATTTATAGCGGCTCACTGATGCCCGCAAATTAGTTAAAATCTCTCGGAATCTAGAGCGAATAAGAGTGCGCATGCGTAGCGCGCGCACGGCAGAGAGAGGGAGCGAGCTAGAGACCTTGCGTGTGTGTGCTAGTGTGCGCGTGTGCCTCACGAAGCGCATGTAAGGACCCAACCAATCAAGTGCGGGCGGGCTTTTATCTCTAATACTCACGAACCGACTTAATCAGAAATTACTTTGCAAGTTACTTGCTAGGGATGATGTTAGGAAGTGATATTCAGCTTGCTACATTTTTAATGATTACAGTAGTTAAAACAGCTAAACTTCAACATTTTAGCTGTAAAATGCCACATGCAGTAGCTAATATTAAGAAATATGTTGTGCTTTTACTTTTAAAAATGTTGGTAACGTTACAGTTAATGCTTACAAACTTTGAAGATTTTGAATACAGAAGTTACATTTGTAATGGTGTAGCCTATTTTCATTTAGATGTGGTATTATTATTTGTGCAGTAGCTAAGATTAATTACTGCATAAATTAATTAAGATTATTAAGTAATAAATTCATTTTAAGACAGCATGGAATAGATTGTATAATTTGCTGTTAGCTAGGTATAGTATTATGAGCCACAATTAAAGTCTTGTGACACTCATGCCAGGCGGCAGGCGTTATTGTTGTTGTTGTCGAGTTTCCGCGGGCCGATTGCTTTGGGCCGGGCCTGGTCAAAGTCCAGGGCCGTTTTTTAGTCCCAGTCCGTCCCTGCTCATCTGCAAATCAGTATGTGAATTCATCCAATGAGAGTTGCACACTTGTAGAATATTTTCTCACAAATATCTTGTATATTTTTCTAGCACAAACACAAGTACATAACTACAGCTGCGACGAATCTCAAACACTGTTTTTCGCTTTCAAGTGACAAGTTTCGCGCGCTCTCCCTTTTGCACCATATATCTCGTTAAATGTGGAGCAAAACTGACTTGTGCATCTGTAGAGGCAGTGGGCGGAGCCTACATTAATATTCATGAGTTTCCCGGGCATGCGTGTGCAACTGCTCATTCTAGTTCACTCAGAGGTTCACTCCTCGTTTCTCAGCAGGTTTAATGGGTTATTTCAAAAAAAGGTGTGTTTGTGGAAGATAAAAAAAAGTCTACAAGTTTGCAACTCTTAAAACATTTCTCTCTGTGACTTCAAATTTACTGATACACATGTGTGGCTATTCTCTACAACTACACATTCCACTGTCACAGGCGTTCAGAAGTATTGCACCAAATATACCTTCATAGTTTTCTAAGTAGTGTTTATTGAAACCTTTTGCCACAACAAAAACAACAAGAACCAAATAATACGAGAATAAATTGCCTAAAATATAATATTAAAGGGCCTATATGTAAGGATTTTCATGTGTAAGGACTCAGAAAGTTTTTGCAAGAAAAATCAAAATGTGACTTTTACCCGCTCTTCCAAGAGCCTCTCTTCCGTTCTATGACACATGAAACAGAGAACAAAAAAAGAACGTCACTGTGTTGAATCACGTTCAGTCTCTTTTTTTTTTCTATAGAAAAAGGTACTTACTGCTCTGGGACCTTTCAGTTTCATCGAACATTTGAACATCATCCACTACAAAGACAGACACACATTATTGACTTACATTGTGAGATTTCTCAGAATAAATGTATGAAGACGGTGTTATTTCACCTTTGTTAAATATTCTGCCCATGTGCTCTTCACAGACTTCATCCAGTTGGCTTTTCAGCTCTGAGAGAGATTGTTCTAATTTCTCAAATGTCAGGTTATGAACATCTTTGAATGAATTGTATTGTAAAATTCCAGAAGAGAAAGGGTAATTCTGCAATTGTAAGAAAAAAAAGTGTTACAAAATCAACAGTGCCGAATTTCATTAAAAATAACCATTCTCTAAATATTTTTTTCACCACCTGGAAGAAATAAACGTGATCCTCAGTATGTAAAAGGGGCTCCAGTTTACTATTCTGCTTTAGTAGTTTAACGATCTCCTGGCGCAGTCTCTGTATGTGACTCTCTGCATCTCGCACTTCCTTGTTCTCCTGAGCTCTGATCTTCTCTCTCACCTCGGCTCGCATGTTCTGAATGGAGCGGATGATCTCGGTGAAGATTCGGTCACTGTTCTCCACTGCTGCCTGTGCAGAGCGCTGTCACAACACACACAACACTTGGTCAAACTTCTGACACATTGTACCAGGAAACATTATACATGCAAAACATTTGTAAAAATAGAACACCTCGCCAAGGTCCCATTAGTTAGGTGTTCAAGCACGAAGTGCTGAAAACCTATTGTAATTGCTATTTGAAAACAAAACAAAACAAAACCCTAAAAACGCATCGTGCAGCCCAAACCATAAGGCCTAGAGACTTGAAACCTGGCCAGGTGGTAGGGCCTCAGTTTGGGGAGAACCTATCAGAGCATGACCCCGATTGGCCCATAGGTGGCGCTACAGCAACCAAAAGTACTAAATTGCTCATAGCTCCTAGACCGTTTGACCTAGAGACGGACAAGATGCATATCTCGGATTCTCGATTTGAGCAAACAAACATTTGTTATGGCCAATTTTGTCCAAAACCTACTTTTGCGAACTAGTCCCTGTTTTTTGCCTGATCGGAACCAGACCAGTCTAGGACAATTCTCTGGACTCTAGATCAATAATTATTGAAAAAAAGTTGAACTTTGCCATTTGGTTCATTATAGGGCTGCAACAAACGATTATTTTGATAATCGATTAATCTAACGATTATTAGAACGATTAATCGACTAATCGTCGATTATTTCGCAGACTAATCAGTAAGTTTGGAACGATTATTCAGCTTTTCCAATTAGTTAAAACATTGAGTTATACATATTCTAACTATAATATAAAAAAAGAAAATCACTTCAGCTTTTGAAATAGTTGTTTTAATGAACTTTGAGCCAACTAAACAGGTCATTCTCTTTAAGTTTTCAGATTTCGGTCCAACTCAAATCACACACAAATGCTCTCTAAGCATTGTTTAATAGGCCCACTGCTTTTCTTAGAACTGAAACAGAAAAAGGGACATTTACTTCAGGACACAAAGAATGGTAAAATATTAATCTGCAAACAATTATTATAATTATAAAATTACAATCTTTTTTTACATGACAATTGAGCTGACAGAGACGTTCTCATTCACCTTTTAATTTATAGTATGATAAAGTAACTGCCATGATATTCTTCCTATGTCATAGGAAGGATATAACATCTCGTTTTGTAAGTCTTTATGATTATTGAACAAAATACAGGCAAGTGATAAGACTATAATAATACCTAATATACTAATAGTGTTACAATAATAAAAAACAGCCCTGACTCCTAAGCTCGATCAAGCTTTATTCTATACAAAATAAGTCATCACATTACTGTAATTATATTACTATTGATAATATTATTACTATTATTAGTAGTAGTATTGCATTCTCTAATAAAGAGAGATTTACCGCTGGTTAGTAAGCTCCAGCTGGAGAAGACACTTCTCACCGGCTCCTCTTTTGCCGGGATGTTTCCTCTTGCACTCCAACATGCATGTTGTGCTCCCGTGAAAATTGCACACGACAGCATTCTTGATTTGAAGTTTTGTGAAACTTTCCCAAACCTAAACCTTGCTAGTTCGGATTCGTTTGCACTGTCATAATCATAGACAGTAAAAGAAATGGACAGAGCGATCTCATTGGAACTCAGTTGAGACAGTTGAAGCCCACTTTTAGCGATTTTTGAGAACTTCCGTTCCTGACGCGCAGACTCAGACCGACTCAAACTAAGCTTGATGACGTGAGCAACCTGTCTGACAGACGTTACTCTTCTAGTAGCTGTGCGTGAAAATTGCCAACGTTAATCTTGCAGAGACGGGGAACTTGAGCAAAGAGTCCTTTATCGTGAGTGAGCAGGAGTAAGTATTCCGTTGCTTTTATGGACTCATTATCTATGGGCTTCTCTCTTGACGGGACGTCCCCCCGATTGCCTGCGAGCTTCTCCTCCTGTCTGTACGGTAATTTCTGTACAGCGCGACAGAGAGTCGAGTGGTTATGACGCAATCGTTAGCCTATTTTTACTAAAACTGTTTCTACGGGGCCATAATGTAACATAGAAGGCAATGGAGCCATTTATACATTGTCGTGTTTCTTTATAAATAAATAATGGACAAATGGAGTCTTTAAACGCCTCAGATGTAAAGTTATTCGCTGTCAAAGTGACGCCAAAATGAATGGTAGTCAATGGAAATGCTAACGCAAGTGAAGTTCTGCTACAAGATGGCGGTACCCGGCCGGCTTCAACTTCCGGTCGATGGATTACCCCCTTGGTCATAATTCGCGCTGTTTTCTCTTCTACCGCAATAGCATTTGTAAGGGCTGCACTACACTCTAGCGCTGCAGCGCCGTAGCGGTCAAATCGCGGGATTGCAGGCCCTTACATTAGGTCACGTGAGATCAAACGACTACTCGACAACAAAGATATTTTTCGAAAAAATTTTATTGTCAACGTTGTCGACAACGTCGACTAATCGTTGCAGCCCTAGTTCATTATAACAGGATCATTTATAAAAAGGGGCGTGTCAAAACACACTCAAAAGCCTATAAATCATTAATAAAAACTCAGAACTTCACAAAAATTGGTGAGCATATGTGACATAACATTATGAACATGCATGCAAAGTTTTATGGAGATCGGACAATAGGTGGCGCTATAACTGTTGAAAAGCTTTAAAACCATGTATTTCTCATGGTAAATTGCCTGTATTGGCTGTAAATGGTGTGTTCCATCTATGATCATATAATATTTATATCATAATGTTCAAAATCAGTGCAGTACAATTCTCTGGACTCTCTAGATAAATAATTATCAGAAAAGGCATAACTTCTTCATTTGGATGGCTATAATAGGGTCACTTCAATATGTAGCCTTGACCAAGAAAGCCTATATCTCTTCAATGAATGCTCAGATCTTCTTAAAAACAAGTCAGAACATGTGACTCTAAATAAGATAAGAAATAATGCATCTATAACAGTTAAAAAGGTGAAAATTATAACATAATGGCATATTAAGCCAATAAGTGGTATTCTACTGCCCCCTGCTGTTTAAAATAGTCATTTTGTCATGTTACTAACTAATAATATTCTATAAATCACTATTTTAACATTTACACTCACATTTTGTCAAAATTCATCTATTGAAGCATTGTGTCACGGACAAATGTTAATCCTGAATGAGACAAAGTTCAAATCACTTTATCTACAACAGAATGTGTGTGTGTAGTCCCATGTTTCTGAATAAATCCTGAATAATCTGATTAATAGCTTGCAAAGACATATATTTTAATGGTCTATAAGCATTTCATATATTTTCATAATGACTTGCGTGTGTGTGTGTGTGTGTGTGTGTGTGTCTAGATATGAATGCAAAAGCACATGTGAAAGACTTTATTAATAAGTAGAGTGGCCAGCAGAGGGCAGTAGAAGACCACTTATTGGCTCACTTTCATTTTAACAGCCTTGAGTTTCAACAATTCTGTACTAAAGCAAACCAGTTTTTCCATGTTAACTGCATTATCCATGCTTACTATAAAATCCATTATATAACAATTACTATTATAACACAATCATATTTTGTCAGAGTGTAACACTTTATTTGTACTGACACATGCTAGATGCATGGTAAATCATACTAGAACGCAGTAAATCATGGTAAACAATGGTAAATCATGCTAGAACAGGGTAAATCATGTAAAGCATACTACAACATGGAATATCATGGTAAAACTATGGTAAATCATGCTAGATTCATGGTAAATCATACCAGAGCGTGGTAAATCATGGTAAACGATGGTAAATTATGCTACAACAGGGTAAATCATGTAAAGCATACTAGAACATTGTGAATCATGCTAGATTCATGGTAAATCATACTAGAACATGGTAAATCATGGTAAAACTATGGTGAATCATGCTAGATTCGTGGTAAATCATACTAGAACATGGTAAATCATGGTAAAACTATGGTGAATCATGCTAGATTCGTGGTAAATCATACTAGAACATGGTAAATCATGGTAAAACTATGGTGAATCATGCTAGATTCATGGTAAATCATACCAGAGCGTGGTAAATCATGGTAAACGATGGTAAATTATGCTACAACAGGGTAAATCATGTAAAGCATACTAGAACATTGTGAATCATGCTAGATTCATGGTAAATCATACTAGAACATGGTTAATCATGGTAAAACTATGGTAAATCATGCTAGTATCATGGTAAATCATGGTAAACGGTTTTCCATCTATTATGTCAGTGGTTAAATGCTTGCTAAATGTCTTTAATGCTTATGTGCTAAAAGGGCTTAACTGCTTGAACACCGCTAAATGCTGCTTGCAGCTTTAATTAACATTAGTTAATGCATTAACTAAGAGAGCAATACATTTGTTATAGAATGTATTAATCTTTGTTAACCTTATCCTTTATAGGCAGGATCATAAGGCAAGCCATTCATAGGTCCTACAAAGCGAATACAGTGGCACTTCATGTATATGGAAATGTTGCTGTTTGTTTCAGTAAGTGATCAAGGTTTTATTTTATCCAATACAGTGTTACAGACACAAACAAATCTTCAAATTCTATCCTATTGACAGTTTTTCAACTTTTTTTAGAACAGTAGATATAGACTAGCGTGGTTAAAACCAGACCATTCTCAGTTGTAACGGAGTTATGGTCTGGCAAAGCATCATAGACAAATCATTTCCAGAGGGGCGTCACCAACGGACGTCGCGGATAGACCTAAACCCAATCAGACCGATGAAGGAGATGACGTATGCAGAGCGGCAGAAAAACATCTCCGAGTGTTGTTCTTTGCTCGGTTTTTAACAAAAAGGAAACGTTCAAATCGCTTAAAACAGACGCGATAGCTGATTGGAACGAGTGATGTTCGACGGCGGCATCCATCTTTGTAATGTAGGCTACAAAATCTGCTTCAAAATCCCAGCGCTGTCGTCATCGTGTAAAGCCTGCCCCAACGTTTCTGATTGGTGCCTCGATTTCGGCGGATTGGAAATAGGCTTGAATGAGCTCTTTGCCAGACTAACTTTCAGAGCAAATCTAAATTTGCCAGAAGTTGTCTGGGTTTTCCCAGGCTAGATATAGACAGGAAACAATGGGAGAGGTGAGAGGAACAGGACCGCGAGCCGGAGCTCAAACTCGGCCATCCGAGGCACAGCTGCGGCATGTGGCACAAGGCCTAAACTTCTTATTCAACCGGCGCAACTCTATTGTTACTATTTATTTGTTATAGGAACTTGCCTCATCTTTTTCAAACCCTTATATATATATATAGTTGTCAAATCACACTTAGGCCACATCCCCACAAAGCCAGAGCTTTCCCTATCTGATCTTTTTTCCTTTCGTTCTAACAAAGATTCCGTAAACAGCGTCGTCTCAAGAAATAACTGCGTACACGAAACCACTGAAACCGACTCAAAATGATGTAGTATATATGCCACACCAGTATGTGGCGCCTTAAAGGGATAGTTCACCCAAAAATGAAAATTAACCCATGATTAAGTCACCCTGAAGCCATCCTAGGTGTATACGACATTCTTCTTTCAGACAAATACAATCGGAGTTATATTAAAAATATGTCCTGGCTCTTCCAAGCTTTATAATCTAGTCAATGAAAGAATAATGTCATATACACCTAGGATGGTTTGAGGGTCAATAAATCATGGGTTTATTTTCATTTTCGGGCGAACTATCCCTTTAAGGCTGATTTATACTTCTGCGTCGGACCTACTCCGGATCCTCTACGCTGTAGACTAAGCGTCGGTTTTCATTTATACTTCTGCGCCGTTGTCCGCGCTGACGTTGTGGAAGAAATTTAATGTTCTGTTTGCATTTTCTTATGTTAATCGAATCCTAGAAAAAGTATGGTAATTAGATTTAAGGTAATAAAATGCACGAGGATTACATGTGAAGTCACATGCTTCTCTGCTACATTGATAGAGAAAATAACTGTTGTTAACCCTTATCAATGTATATTATGTGTAGAACCTTTTGTATACGTGGCTTGACAAAAAGACTAATGTATGACCGAGGGCCTCCACTTGTGGGTAGGATATGATAAACAAGTCTAAGTGTTAGTTATGGCTGAGACATATCTTCATTTAGCCCAGAGAAATAACCTTGGGGGAGTCAGGGCTATAAAGGAAGGATGCCCTCCTCTCATTGTTGCACTCTGCAGCCACTCTGTATGACTGTATGATTGCTGACCTTTCCTTGCAAGGGAATAAGTTATCTTTAAAGACAGTTTGTACATGCATGCCTCTTATTCAGTGATAGAAAATTGTTGTATCCACAACCACAACAATTACACATGCAGCATGTGAAACCCGAGGGAGGGGTTCTAGCAGACCAATCACAGCGCCTGCTGTCCACTTAGAATTGACGCGTTACATTTTTGGAGAGGTGCACGTCAGGGTACGCCGTAGGCCACGCGTGCTACACACAGCCTATGATGTAGCTACGGCGTGAGTTAGATCCAGAAGTATAAATTTAGCTTTAGTCCTACCTTATGAGAGACCACAGCTTCCTTAAACTTCTGAACCTCCTTGCCCATGTTGTAGTTTTTCTGAATTAAATACTTCTTTATTATTTTCAGTTGCTCCTGTGAATGAATTTGCAATCAATAAGAATCCTGTTAAGAAACTTAAAATAACAAAATAAAATCAGCTGTTGAATGGAATCAAAATATTTGCATCTGTGCAGGATTTTGTTCCATTCTTGCAATAAAAATAGCTTCCTTCATCTAATTTTTACTAATTTGCTACATATTCTTACAAACAAGATATTCTTATATCTCAATTATTTATCATAGAAGATAGTTTAAATTTGACTTGAAAGACTTGAGGTCTTACCTGTTTTTTTGGCATTTCAGCTGCAGCTGAGACTGTCTTATGTCCACTGTGCTGATTCCCCATACAAACTACACAAATACACTTCTTGTCATTGTAGCAGTAAACCTCCAGTGCTTTATGATGGTGAGGGCAGATCTGCTGCTGTAGATTTGGGGAAGCTTTGACCAGCTTGTGCTTTTTAAAAGCTTCAGATTCATGATGAGGTTGGATGTGAGTTGGGCAGTAAGAAGCCATACAAACCAAACAAGACTGGATGGCTTTTACTTTTATTCCTTTGCAAACATCACACGTCACGTCTCCAGGTCCAGCTTGATCTTCCTGCTTCATTCCCCCTAAAATATCAGCCAGTACAGTGCTTCTGCTGAGTGCTGGTCTTTGGTTGAATGTTATCCTGCATGTAGGGCAGCTGTAAACGCCTCTATGATCCTCCTGGTCCCAGCAGCTCTTAATACAGTCCATGCAGAAACTGTGCCCACAAGATGTAGTCACTGGATCCTTAAGCAGATTCAGACAGATCGGACAGTTTAAAGGATTTTCAGTATCAAAGAGAGAGTCTGCCATTTTGGTGCTTTCAAGTTGTCTGCCGTGTTTGTCAGGTTCTCCCAGTATTGGTAAAAGGTATTTTGTGTAGACCTACAACACAACAATTAAAACAATATGGAGTTAATTTTGTGCCATAATTAAAGGGTCATGAAACCCCCTCTTTCAGCTCAAGTCTAGCTCACAATCTTTTTGAAAAATGCAACTTAAATGGGCGTGGATGGCTGTGAGAAGGGGTGTGGTAAGGCCATCACTGTCATCGCCAGTATCCCATGCATATCGACTGTCACTAAAAGCAGTGGTAAAACGTGAGGAAATGCTAGATTTTTTTTTATAGCTGGCAAAGTTAAAGTCTAATGAAATACGACACTTTATTATTGTCCTTTCAAAAGTAACTGAATGCCCTGCTATATTAGCCTAGTAAGCCTACAGAAATCGTAATTCTACTGAGAACATATTAATGTAGGCTGCATGTATAATTATAATGTCATTATAAAATATATAGTTGTTTATAGACACTATACATATATTTGAAAATTATTAATTTTCCGCTTAAAAAAAAAAAAGTTCCGTGCATAGCCTAGATCTACGTTCCCCACTGAACCCCCATAATAAAGATGGCTCTGTGGAGGTGGATGACTTCTCATTTTAGACACACACACACACACACACACACACACACACACACCTCTGAAGGGATAGAAAAGTCCTCGGGACTTGGTGCCGCATCACTCGCAAGATGCAACCTGCATTGGTTGTTAACAAGGCGAAGTCCACCATTCTCCAATTCTCGAAGCTCAAAAATGTTTGCGGCACACACGTTTAGATGTGTCCGTGGTTGATGGAAAACCAACCGCCCAGAGCCAGAGTCTAGCCCGGGCAGCATCGCGGGGAAACATTCAACCCAATTGGACTTTTGCACCACGAAAACAAACACTTGCGTGCGTCCCATGATTGCCTCTCTCATCTACTAAGCGATATCACAGTTTGACATGTCTGTCACTGGAAAGATCCACGTGGTGTCATGAATAATTAAGAGACGTGTCTTTTCATAGGATATGAAAACTCATTAATAATTATGAGACACCGATGAGTCATCAACGCACTATACTGTGCACTGCCACGTCACAGCCTGCGATGAAGATTTTAAACCCGGAAGACGAAAATAGTGGAAAGAAACTAAAATTTAACCATTTTCACCCTACTATTAAATCTAACAGATGCTAACATTGTCTTCATCTGCTTTGCAAAGGAAAACTCGACTCGCAAACAAACAGAAAGCAATGTGCAAGTACAACGGTCAATTTGAGTGAAAATGCAGTGGAGTAACACACATGCATTGTGTTTTGCAAATATAAATAAATGAGCCTACATAATATTTCACAAATAAATACAAACCATCCTACAAATTGCATATAATCTTTGAACAAATACCAAATCTAGTGCATGCAAATGCATATCAGTCTGTTATGATTGCGAGACACTTGGCTTTTTATGAGATCTCTCAGCTCGATTTTCTCAAAAATGTGTGCGGGCAGATTTTCTCACAAATGCAGTTGAGCAACTTCCTCTTCTAAAACAGTAGATGGCACTAAACTAGGGGATTAATTTAGCGCTTCCGGGAGAAGCACTAATTAGTAGTGGGAAGTTCGGATCATTTTACTGACTCGGATCTTTGAGTCTCGTTCAGCAAAATGAACGAATCTTTTTTCGAGTCATTTCGTTCATTTCAGCATAATATAATTAAAATGGCATGTTAAATATCCCAACACATCTAGAACTTACGAAAATGTTGATTACATTTGTAAAAAGAATAAAAATAAATTATAGGGTAATGCAGCCAAAGCCAAATTATAAGAAACCGAAATTTTTATGAATTGATTAGTTGTTGGGTTTTAAGTTCAGGCTATTGCAGTCTGATTCTGTTAGTTCACCTCACCTCCTCATCCGAGACGTTCTTTCCTTTGCAACTTCATATTTATCAGGTTTGTTCTCCTCCTCTTGTGTCTCGAGACGTTAGTTGTCGACTCGTCAGTGTCTGACTCTGATCTGTCTGCTGGGCCGTGCCGTGTGTGATACAGCAGGGCCGGAAAGAGTAATGATTAGTTCATCTTTCGAGTCTCGAGTTCGGGTTCGGCCGGGTCCGAGTCTTTCGTTCTTCCTGTCAGTCCCATAGAGACTATGCTGTCAGTACCGGAAAGAGTAATGATTAGTTCATTTTCTTCGAGTCTTCGGGTTTGAGTCCTTCGTTCTTTTGTCACGTGACCGCTGGTATCTCGCATCAAATACAATATTAGATTCGTATTATTGACTGCGTCTGAATGTATATTGTTTTATATTTAGGAATTAAAATACAAAATATGTGAAATAAACATTATCTGAAAAATAACAGTTCCATCTTATTATTGTCCCTGTCCGTTTCTTTAAATGTTTCTTGTGCATCTGTGGTGTGTTTTATTATATATTATACATTAATTAACTACTATTATATTATACATTAACTACGTGCTTGTTTGTAAAAAGGTTGTGAATTAGTAGGCTATTCAATACGGTGACAAGTCACGTGACAAAAGAACGAAGGACTCAAACCCGAAGACTCAGAAGATGAACTAATCATTACTCTTTCCGGTACTGACAGCATAGCCTCTATGGGACTGACAGGAAGAACGAAAGACTCGGACCCGGCCGAACCCGAACTCGAGACTCGAAAGATGAACTAATCATTACTCTTTCCGGTACTGACAGCATAGCCTCTATGGGACTGACAGGAAGAACGAAAGACTCGGACCCGTCCCGAACCCGAACTCGAGAGAGATGAACTAATCATTTCCAGTACAGATTCAGAAACCATATGTTGCGCAATGCTCATGCGCGATCAACACAAAATGAACGAATCACTCTCTGAGACAACTCGGTAGTCCCGAGTCATATTAAAGATTCGTTCAAAATGAACGAATCGTTCATGAACGACACATCACTAGCACTAATTTGAAACGCGTGCTTGCCTTTGCCTATACAGCTGTGGAAAATGAGCGGCGAACAGGTGAAAAGCAGATCGAGTTTGTTTGCAAAATGCTGGATTTGTTTGTTTAATTATGGCACAATATTAACTCCATACCTATACAGCCATAACTTCCTGCGGTAACGCTAGAGTGTGGAAAAATACCATGATTTTTTTTCAATCTATATAAAATGTAGCCCTGCACATGACATGCATTGTGCGCACGATTTACTTTTATTTCCTTGCATGTCATGTGCGTGGATCAGAACAAACACACTTTTATTACCTCTTTCTTGGCCCAGTATCAGTCATTCCACTGTCAACCGTGTTACTGGAGATAATAAAATAGCGCAAATGAGCAACAGAAATTAAACAGAATTATAAGTGCGTGATTCGTGTTTTTCGCAAAAGAAGGAAGTGCTCAAACTTGAATGAGTTTACAACCCGAACATGGACTACTTGCACAACTACTGCCGCTTTCTACTTGAAACAACTCGGCAGTTCCGGTAACAGCTTTCAGCTGTTTCTTATTACATTATTATTCTATGGCTGTCAATTGATTAAAAGAGCGAATCATGTTCTCTGCGCGTTACCATGAATTATCTTGAACCTGCTGAAATGTTCCTATAAATACATTTTCTTTCCAACTTTCCAAACTATTTTTACTAGGCTACTAACCTGCATCAGTCTCGTCTTCTCATTAAGTGTTTTTCTCCTTCTGATCATATTTCATACCTGTCATTTGAGATTGCTTGTGTGCGCTGCACTTGTATTCCAGACTGGAATTCCAGTCTTTTAAAATATTTGAATGAATGAATGTGCGGTAGGCCTATGTGTTTAAAATTTAACCATAATTAATCAATCCTAAACCGTGTTGAGAAGCATAGAGGAGAATGACAGTCAACTACTTTGAATATGAATCAGGTCTCACACACTTAACCATTGCGGTGAATTAATCGCGTATGTTTAACCGGCGCTGCTTTCTCACATCGGCTCAGAAAGAATATCTCTTCTCCTGCCTCTCTAATAAAAAAAATTCCAGAGTTTTAAATCTTCTTGCGAACACTCATTTTAGGTGGCGTTTAGTCAACAAGGTGATACAGCCTATTGAAAAAATACATAACCGAAAATAAATGTCAAACTATTTCAAAACAGAAGTGCGTCACGAAGCTCCGTGCAATCTACTTATATGCCCTAAAAGTAGCCTATTTACTGATTTTATAAAGGAAAAGTACATTTTGGGGGTCTGTCATGCAGACTATCCTCATGTGTTTGCAAAATGATGCATGTAAAAGTTAATGACCAAACGCCAGTGAGTTTTAGTTTGAAAAAATAATTATAGCCTAGAACAATTTTTTTTTTTTTTTTTGTGGAACTTGATTTTGTCCATGGGCAATTGATTGGATGGTAGTGGTTTGCTATTGGTGGATCTCATGTGAGTGACAGTGTCACTCGAAGATAAAAACTCACCACTTTCGAAGTGAAACTACAAATGGTGCTCAAAACTGATTGATCTAATTTCCCTTTGAGATCTTTTACTCAGAACATAACCTAACCTAGAGTAGGTTAGCCATGGAGCGCAAGTTATTATGGCTATGAACACCAATAAAAGAAGAGCCACTTTCATGGGGTCTAAAACCCAGAGTCAGCACAAACTACTGAAACCAGCCACATGGTTTAGGCCCCTGGTCTCTCTAACTACATTTTGTATCGAATAGGAAGCAGTGAAAAAGTTTCATTATTTGTTTGTAAGGGACTAAATGGCTAAAAGTCTTTTCTGAAGACAGTCCTTTTCTCTGCAGCATGTATTGTATGGGCAACAGTGTAAATTTGAACTGTCCTTGTGAATGTGTGTAATCTGAAACATGTTTGGATTTATTGTTCAGTGCTTTGAGGCAACATTTGTTGGTTTAAATGTGCTATAGAAATACATTTAACTTGCTGACTGAAAAATAAATTGTAAAGGTTTGTTTGCAAATCCCACCTGAGTAATAGTATTTAAAGACATGTTACGAATTATACTATGTAATATGTAATGTAACAATCTAGTCTTACAAGGACCTGGAAGAAGACCATCTCGAACTTTGGTGATGTGACATTTTATTTTTCTTTAGGAAAGAATGATGATGTCCAGATGTTTTGAAGGGTCATACAAGCTTACATAAAATAAAAATGTAAAAAATTTGTGTTTATGTGCATGTATATATATAGGCCGATATATATAAATAATTATTATTAGCCTACGTTCACCAAAGCTTCATTCATTTGGTCATTTATTTTAGGCTTCTTTATTTAAAGGACAAGTTCGGTATTTTACACTTAAAGCCCTGTTTCAAGATCGTTTCTGATGAAATATAACGGTTAAGATTAAAATTTTGACACATGCTGCTGTCCCAAGAATTTTCGGTTTCTATGGTTGCACCCCGCCCCCTTTGAGATTGAAATATATATATAAATATACATGAATATATGAGACTTCAGCCACAATCTTATAGTTACAGCAATACTACAGAGAATCCAAGTTCTTTTACCACCTTTGCTGATAACAGTCACTATTCAGGTGTGTTCCTGACCCGTGTCAGTCCATGGTGCCGCACGTCAAGAGCGTTGTTGGGAATTGGGCCTGTAATGCTCTGTGGATGGATTGATGACTGATGGATTTTCCGCCTCAGAGGAAAAGCAGCCGATGGAAGAGCGTGGCTCCCTGTTCACAAACTTTTCAGTCATTTTTCTCTTTTAAACTTCATCCGATCCTTGATTCTTCAGGGCTGATGAGTGAAATGACAAATTGTCCTCTTAGGAGTTGGTTAAAGGTAGCCTGACTTCGTCATACTCATATTCTAGTCAGAAATGTGAGTCTGATACTGCTCCATAGGGCTTTGATTATGAGGCGTGTCTTAACCGAACCAGGAAAAAAAAAACTCTGCACTCAATTGGATAGACCTACAACCAATCAGAGCAACGCAGTAAGTCAACTACTTTGCATAGCACAGTTGTCAACTACAAAACTCAAATGCACGCACGCTGGAAGAAGTAAAATAACGAGTGTTGCTTCTTTTACTTGGCCCTCTATGAGTGCGACCAAAGGAGAAACCACAACGACCACAGGGTTTTTATTGCGTCCCATCTTCTTAGTTACCATCGGAGCCAGCTGATAAATTAAACTTTTGCCGAATCCCATAGGAAGGACGGCAAACACATCTTTCCGATCGACAAATGCCTTGATTGCAGTTCTATGTTCGTCTTTTAAAATGTATGCGCTGTCGATTTCTTTTACAACAGACGCGATAGCGGAATCTTTACATCTCAGTTCTCCCGCGGCAGTCATCTGTGAGGGAAACCAGTTCAACCCATGCGCTCTTTGATAACGTGATGATTACGTCCCTGCAGATCATCTGTCCATCATCGTATAAAGCCCGCCCTGGCAATTTGATTGGCCCGACGATTTCTGAACCGATCATAATTACTCCTCAATGGAGCGAGTCCAGACCGAACTTCCCGATCAAAAAATGTTGTGGGCGGGGTTCGGGCTGGCATCCAGGCTAGGTTAAAGGACAATGTAAAACTACGAAGAAAAACAAACAAACAAAATAATCTTTTTAAAGTGTTTAAATAGCTATACATTCCAATTTTTGGCCCTGAAACTGTAGGGTGTCGGAAGATCTGGGCGAGTGAATATAGGTTTTAGTCTTAAGTGGGTCGCACACCGGACGAGAAGCGCAGCGCCGCGCCGCGCCACGTCTAGGACAACTCCAGGTATCGCACACCGGACGCGCACATTCTAATGGCGCGAGCACAATTTTGAATCAACTCCTGGTAGAAGAGCTGCACGATGTGTGTTTTATCTTGATTAATTATTTATTTTTTTATGTTCATTGAATAATAGCTGATGTTTGAACGTTAATCAAGTAAAAGTGTCTATCACGTTGAGTCTGTTATTTTGTTGTAACGTTATCCGTTGTCTAGGCAACTATGTCACATAATACAATAGTATTTATTTAGCTAGCGTTTAGCTAACCCGAGTGAAAACAGCACGGGGTGAAGCCATGTACATTAACGACGATTTGAGACAAATAAATGTAAATTTAATATAAAACTATGCAAATGGCGCTCTGTGGCGCGGCAGGGTTTTGAACAAGGTCCTGAGCCATAGCTGGGCGCCGCGGACAGACGCCGAATGGCGCCGCCGGTGTGTGTACACTCATAGAGAATAATGTGTTCGAATTTTAAAGACCTGGCGCTGCGCGACGCGGCGCTGCGCTTCTCGTCCGGTGTGCGACCCCCTTTAGTCTGTTTTTAATGATGTTTTACAGTTTTAATCAGATCTAGCTACACATTTCAAAGTTTACGACAAAGGGGAATTAAACCAGTGCTTTTATCAAATATATATTTTTGTTCTGTTAAGTCTCTGTACATACATTTTCTGACTCTTTATTTTGCTAACATTTCCAAGTGTTAATAAGATGTTGTACGATTAGGCCAAATAAAAGTTTGACCCCCCTTGTGTTTGTTGTTTTTCTGATTTTTAAAAAATGTTATATTAAAAACAATATCAAACACCTTATCACAAATAATATGTTTTGAATTGAACAAAGAATTGTGATGCACATTTAGCTGACTGACATTCAAGATCTTTCAGACGAAAAAAAAAAGAATGTTACTGGGTTAAGAATGTTAGTTCACATGAAGAAACTGAAAGACAAAAATGTCAAAGTATTACATGCCATCACATTATTAAAGGTATAGTGTACTAATTTTTGGGTGAATTAAATTATTTCCCTCATATTGTATGCATTTATACTTCTGTAAGGGTTCCCACTCTTTTTCAGCGACCATTTTCTAGGTCTTTTTCAGGACATTTTCAATTTTACTATGACGATTGCGATTTGATTTGCGATTACATTTTTGTGAAGTCAAGCTTCAGCTCAATATTCTCAATAGTCTACAGCACACACTCTAAATTAAAGTAGTACAACAAGCCTTTAACTGTAGACCCATCCACTACAGTCTAGCAGATGCAGAGTGCCTTTCTATTAGTGTAACTCCGGATCTGTTTGTATCGAAACGCTGATGATACAAAGTTTTTACGTATAAACGCATCTTCGTGTGGACGAGCATTTACACTTAATGCACACATCTATTCTTGACATCAGAATTTTTTGTCCCATCCAATGCTGGTTATCACCATGTCAATCAATAAATTTTGGATTCAATCCCGCATTTAAATAAGTTAGTCATTCCTAAAACTTCGCAGTGTGTATATACATAGCAGAATGAAAAATAAAATTTTATTCAAACTGCAAATGGGTTATATGCAGATAGCAAACAAAGAGCGTTCCTTTTTTAATCACTACAGCTGTCAATCACTTCAGCGCTAGCTCACAGAGTTCAGCACTGTTGTGAAAACTCCTGTTATACTCAATGAAGCTGGATACAGTGCACAATTAATATATTATTGACCTTATAATCACATCAAAATTATTAATTATTAGAACATTGTACTTTCTGCAACTAACGGTAATTGTTTTTGTCCAGTGAAAAACTCTTTGTTCTCACCTAAATAAAAAACGAATAACTTTTTAAAAAATAATTTTCCAGGACAACAACAAGATTTTCCAGGACATTTTACACTTTCTCTAATTTTCCATTTGTTTTCCATGACTGGAAAGTTTGTCATCAATTATCCAGGTTTTCCAGGACGAGTGGGAACGGAACAAAAAAGATATATGATCAATGTGTTATGACAACATGTTTTTATATTAAAATAAGTCAAGCAATTTTGAACTTTTTTAATAAGTTATACAAGATTAACTCATTTTTTAAGTTAGTTTAATGTAATTTAAGTTTAAATGACAAACATCCAAGTTGCAACTTTTATTTTTTTTAGTGTATAATGTCTTTTTTCTGTCAGCATTCTTCAGAATATCAGCTCTTGAGTTCCAGAAGAACGCAAGTCATACAAGTCTGGAATGACATGAGAATGTTAGAATTGACTATAAATGACGATAGCATATCTTTTCCAAGCTTTCATCAGTGTTTTGATCAAGATTGGTGCATTTTCTCCATGGCTCATTCCATGAGGATTTCTTCTCTTTATCAGTTAGCTGCTCGGGTAAGTCAAATAAACACTCCATAAAGAGTCCAAAAGCAGCAGGTACAAACTTCTGATGCTGGAACTTCTAGAAGGCAGTGTTGTGGTCGAGACCAGCTCACTCGAGTCCGAGTCGAGCCCGAGACCATAGAGGGTCGAGTCCGAGTCGACACCGAGACCAAAGAGAGTCAAGTCCGAGTCGAGACCGAGACCATAGAGGGTCGAGTCCGAGTCGAGACCGAGACCAAAGAGAGTCGAGTCCGAGACCATAGAGGGTCGAGTCCGAGTCGAGACCGAGACCAAAGAGAGTCGAGTCCGAGACCATAGAGGGTCGAGTTCGAGTCGAGACCGAGACCAAAGAGAGTCGAGTCCGAGACCATAGAGGGTCGAGTCCGTGTCGAGACCAAAGAGAGTCGAGGCCGAGTCGAGGCCGAGACCATAGAGGGTCGAGTCCGAGTTGAGACCGAGACCAAAGAGAGTCGAGTCCGATTCGAGACCGAGACCATAGAGGGTCGAGTCCGAGTCGAGACCGAGACCAAAGAGAGTCGAGTCCGAGTCGAGACCGAGACCAAAGAGAGTCGAGTCCGAGACCATAGAGGGTCGAGTCCGTGTCGAGACCAAAGAGAGTCGAGGCCGAGACCATAGAGGGTCGAGTCCGAGTTGAGACCGAGACCAAAGAGAGTCGAGTCCGATTCGAGACCGAGACCATAGAGGGTCGAGTCTGAGTCGAGACCGAGACCAAAGAGAGTCGAGTCCGAGTCGAGACCGAGACCAAAGATAGTCGAGTCCGAGACCATAGAGGGTCGAGTCCGTGTCGAGACCAAAGAGAGTCGAGGCCGAGTCGAGGCCGAGACCAAAGAGAGTCGAGTCCGAGACCATAGAGGGTCGAGTCCGTGTCGAGACCAAAGAGAGTCGAGGCCGAGACCAAAGAGAGTCGAGTCCGAGACCAAAGATAGTCGAGTCCGAGACCATAGAGGGTCGAGTCCGTGTCGAGACCAAAGAGAGTCGAGGCCGAGTCGAGGCCGAGACCAAAGAGAGTCGAGTCCGAGACCATAGAGGGTCGAGTCCGTGTCGAGACCAAAGAGAGTCGAGGCCGAGACCAAAGAGAGTCGAGTCCGAGACCATAGAGGGTCGAGTCCGTGTCGAGACCAAAGAGAGTCGAGTCCGAGTCGAGACCGAGACCAAAGAGAGTCGAGTCCGAGACCATAGAGGGTCGAGTCCGTGTCGAGACCAAAGAGAGTCGAGTCCGAGTCGAGACCGAGACCAAAGAGAGTCGAGTCCGAGACCATAGAGGGTCGAGTCCGTGTTGAGACCAAAGAGAGTCGAGGCCGAGTCGAGGCCGAGACCATAGAGGGTCGAGTCCGAGTTGAGACCGAGACCAAAGAGAGTCGAGTCCGATTCGAGACCGAGACCATAGAGGGTCGAGTCCGAGTCGAGACCGAGACCATAGAGGGTCGAGTCCGAGTTGAGACCGAGACCAAAGAGAGTCGAGTCCAAGTCGAGATCGAGACCAGAGAGGGTCGAGTCCGAGTCGAGACCAAAGAGAGTCGAGTCCGAGACCAGAGAGGTTGGATAACCTAAGGTTGGGTCTGAAACCAGACCTAAAGATATCTTCAAGAATATGTAAAATATTTGGTGGTAACAATAAAATTGGCACCATACTCAAACAGTAAATCAAATATACTGTGGAATCATACACTGTAATGTAGTGTTGTCAAAAAACTCGGTACTTCGGTACCAAGTCGGTACTAAAAAAAATTAACGGTTACGGTACCAGCTTTTCTAGGTACCGAGTACCGGGTTAATCCGGTTCTTGATGCGCTGTCCGAAAGGTGCAGAGTTGCGTCCTCTTCATAAAAACACTGAGACATGGCGACCGGCGGCGCTGCTAATGCGTTGGCTCTGAATCCACTTGTTGACAAGAAAGGAGGAAAGAGCCACATATGGAAATATGTTGAATTAGGCTAATGTCACGTTGCCATAAAGGGCCGTTCACATAGCACGTTTTTTGCGCGTGCAAATTTCAAATGTAGGCGCGCGGGAAGCGCGCTCATAAAGCGACGTGCGAGCTTGTTTTTCCATGCGCGTCACTGTTTATGGTTGCATAGCGGAGACACGCGAGAGCGAGCGCTTGTGGAGAGAAGGAGAAAGCTGTGCAAACTGCGCTCCCCGTGATGACGAGGAAGTATCAGCAAATAATTAATTGATTTCTAGCCCTTGCATTAGAAATCAGCTACAGGGTTATCAAGTTTTGAAGACAGGCAAGAGTGACATTTTTGGCAGTTTTGGATTAAATAAAAGTAGGCTACAGTTACAGTACAGTTTGGTAACACTACAATAAGATACCATTCATTAACATTACTTAATGTGTTAACATCAACACATTGAGTGAACAATATATTTCTGCAACATTAATTAATGTTTGTGAATGTTATTTAATACAAACACTTGATTGTTCATGTTTGTTCACTTCATTCATTGTGCATTAAATAATGTTAACAGATAAAACTTTTGATTTTAAAAATGTATTAGTATATTTTTAAATTAACCCCAAGGAGAATAATTGCTACAGTATATAACTATGGTTTATTGTTAGGTAATTTTATCTAATGTTATCTAACAAATATAATCTTATTGTAAAGGGTTTTTAATACTACAGTTTCCATCTTTGTAACTGTGATATACACTTTAATATATGTAAATTTTATCTAAATTAAGCTTTTGGTACCGAAATTGGTACCGAGAACCGTGGATTTTCACTGGTATTGGTACCGAATACTGAAATTTTGGTACCGTGACAACACTACTGTAATGGTAAAAAGGCCACATAGCGGTGTAAAGGTAGTTTTATTAAAATTATGACTTACAATTATTACAATCAGTTAGTGCTCTTACACATAACATTACTGCACACGAATTCTGTGTGGCTCTTATATGCAAACTGAATTATGGATGATAAGGCAGACATTTTCAATACATAGTTGAGCTAGAGGCCACATCACATCTGACCTGGGTCCTGCTGCATTTGCGCGCCGCGAACGTTACGGTCAAGCGTGCCGCACAAGCCCTCAAAAGTGAAGCCAAAACGTCTCGATCGCCCCCCAGAGGCCGGTCCATTACACTTCACATATCTTTTTTCTAAAGATAGTTTCTGTCATTTACTGTAGTTTCTATCACGTTGATGTAATTTCAAGTGTTTGTTTTTAAAATAAGTTTGTTTTTAGTTAGTTATTTGATGCTATAAAAACGGTGCTGTGACATCATGATTGATAGCTGTGATTGACAGGTTTCTCTGTGCGAAGTAGTCACTGAAGCACCAACGGACTTTTTTTCATAATGTTGACAAGGTGGTTAGTAGTTGTATTTACCTTATTTTACCGAGGTACTGCAATCAGCAGACATCATTGGAGAGGAA